TTGAAGGAGGTTTTCAGGATATTTTAGTATTTTTATGGACTGATTTTGAATTCATCACATGATTTTGCACGTTGAATTTGACTTTCTAGACTTCAGGCACTAGACACTGACTTTGTCCCACCTCTGGCAATGATCAAACTGTGTCTTTGCTTGTGTCACAAGTATTTGCCTCCTCCTCTACGCTTCATCTTTGTGCTTTTTCTAACATAGATGTTCTAATTCCTTGTTGTCAACCCTCTGTCTGAACCGCCTTTTTAAAAAAAAAAAAAACCTCTTTTACAAATACGCTCTAACTTTATTCTCTTTCTTCCTTCTTTCTGTTTTTATTTATTTATTTTTTTGTGCGTGTGTGTGTCAGAAAACACGCAGAGACGTCTGCAACTTCGACAAGGAGTTTACAAAGATGGTGGTGGAGCTGACGCCAACAGACAAGCTCTTCATCATGAACCTTGACCAGAACGAGTTTCAAGGCTTCTCCTACACCAACCCAGAATTCATCATACAAGTCTGATGACTTCCGGCTGGTTAGAGGCCGGACTTTACTCCAGCTTGTACAGCCCAGCCACATTTCATTAAAGACCCATCCAGCATCAGATCAGGACTCAGAGCCGCGCCGTCTTCAGTCTCGACCCACACCAGCATCTAAACTGGGCAATCATAAACCATCACATTAGCTCCACAAACACACAGACAGCAGTGTGAAACAAAGCCCGCTGGTTGCCAGTTTCCAGAAAACTCCAGGTGGTTAGCATTCCCAGTACCTCACAGTGAGCCGGTCAGTACGAAGAGCGGTGATCAAGAGTCACAGTGAATGTGCTAATAGTGTGTATGTGCTCTATTGATCACCAACAAGAGTGTCTGTTTACTTGATTTTCTTCTCTTCAGCCTGTGGAAGTTGCATCATGAGCCTGCAATGATCAATATGTACATGCTCACTCACACACACGTGTGTCTGTGCAGGCTGCGGTTTGGAGCAAGGTTGGTTTTGAATTCAAAAAGCTCTGATTTATAACCTCATGTCTAAGTTAGTCCTGAACTTAGTCTTAAGCACGTTTCGTCTTCCAAATTGATGCAAAAAGAAAAATTAAAAAAGGAAAAAAAAAAAAAAAGACCCCCCACCCCAAATGCCTGTTTCGGCAGAGATATTTAAAGACGTCTTTCTCTAGCTTAATCTCTTTCTCTATGGCACTGTGTACGTATGCGGTGGGTTAGTGCTGTAGGCCTATACAGTCTTTGTGGTGCCGCTCCTCTATGCATGCCATGTTTGTTGGTCCAGTAGTTTAAAGACTTGCTTTCAACCTCTCGGACAACGAGGGGGGACCTCGTCAGGTGTCCAGAGTCAGTTCTGAAATATCCAAAATCAAAGTTTTAGTTCCCACTCTGAATGCTGTATCTCTTAATAGTGTTTTGAATATGCGTGGCTACACAGTTTGCTTTACAAAGCACGGAGCAAAGACTGTCTGGCTGTCTGTAAATGAGCGTATCGATGTAACGGTGCTGTATGACCTGTGTTTGTGTGTATGTGTGAATAGGAATGGGATGTAGAGCTAGAAGTGTTTTTCATGTTATCGTGCACTTCTCTACTATTCCCCCCCCCCCCCCCGTTCTCTCCCCCCCCCCCCCCCCCTCCTCCTCCTTCCCTTAAATCTTCTTTTGATCTCCGTCCCCCCCTCCCCCCTGGTTAACGTTCATATCATTTTAAGGAAATGTGATAAGACGAGAAAGACAGAGGGAGGGCAAAAGATGGGGGAGTAAAGTGTTAACTATGCAAAAAGGCAGGAGGAGGAGGAAGTGGGCAACTTTTATTAAGCAACCAAGGGATTGTGTAAATGGACAGTGTACATGTGTTGCATGCGCTGTCTTTACCTGCGCGTGAGAGACACCTGCAGAAAGATGCATTAAAATGAATTATCATAAAACATTCCAGAAACTCTGGCTCTCTTGTGTTTTTCTCCTTTTTATCAAAGACAATCTTGTGATCGTGCTTCATTTCTTACCGAGATGTATATTATGTCTGCGATGGAGAGGAGGGATTGTTCTTGAAAGCGATACAGATTTTTAAATCTGTATTGTATTCTTGAAATTAAAGCAGCTATAATGAGCAGTTCTATAGATGTAGTGATAATAAGTATCAAATGGCTCTGTGAGAACATGAAATAAGTCGCTTGGACGGATGAATCTGCAGAGGATTACAGCCCGATTCTGCTTACAGCTCCTTGGAAACTATTATTAACGCTTATTAAATGTGCACATTTAACTTCTCAACAGAAACACTGTGTTCAAAGGCCTGCTGTGCAAGTTCACCAATGACATATATATAATAATGTGCGGTTTAGTCGAGAAGCTGAAACGGTGATTGATCATAACAAAACATTTTACAGCGAGGAAGCTCGTTGGTTGGGGTTGATTGCTTTTGCTTCTTCACACACATGGCCACTCACTTTGCAAAGCCTTAAATAGTCACATCCTCATTTATTCTTTTAATCACTTGTATGATATGCTTGTGGAGTGAATACTGATGACAATATTAATATTAAAGGACATGTAATGAGTAAACCTGGCCAAAGAAAAAGCCCCATGAGAGTTCTGTCTGTCTATTTAAAAGTTTTTTCAAAATGTTTTTTTTTTCTACCTGATTATGCATTATTGGTTATACATACAGCATACATACAGTCATGGCACAGAGAAAGTATACTTTTTCCTTTTCATTGGATCATTGTCCTGTTGCAGATCTTGATTTCAGTCGAGCTTTAGCTATCAGAGAGATGGCCTCGCATTTGAGTCTAGAATACTTTAGTACGCAGAGGAGTTCATGGTTGATTCAATAACTAGAAAGGCGCCTGAGTCCTGATGCTGCAAAACAAGCCCAAATGCTCACTCCTCCACCACCGTGCTTGACGGGTGATATGAGATGTTTGTGCTGATTGGTTTTCACCAAATGTGGCTGCTTCATCTTTCAGTTGTTCCCTTTAGGGGTCCTCTGTCACACCAATACTCTGCCCGTCCTCCTTCATTACATCATGACCCTCCTCTGATTCTTAAACATCGACCATCCCTCCTCTTCACAGGTCCAAACTTCCCTCTTTAACTTTGTCTCCAAACAGCTCAACCTGAACTTCCCTTTTACTCTTTATCCTTCTGTCAGGATACACCCCTGACACTCCCCATTCTGTCTGCACTTTTCGCTATCCTACATTTATCCTCCTCTTTTACTTTATTCATGAAACCCTCAACGCACACCTTCCACCTTCTCAACACACTCTCTTCACTTCTTAGTACATTTCCATCTCTATCACATCCTTCCTCTGCCTCTCCCTTTCTTAGTGTCCAGCCTCACAACTCACTACAAGCCTTTTCCTTTGTCATCTCTCTCTTTGCTGTACACCTAGCCTCCCAGAACTCCTTCTTCATCTCCCTAATTATCCAACTTTTTCTTTGCTGACCTCTTCCTTATGACCCTTCCCAGATTGATAGACAGCCACAGATGCTTCCCTAACATCATTGCTGATGCTCCAGAGCAGCAGACTGCCAAACGTCTGCTTTGGTAGAAGTGTTCGCACTTGTTGCTGATCGTTTAATCAAGTGCATTTGAATAGCAGCACCTGGCCGCTCCTTACGCTGATACGTTTTCTTCCCACAGAGTGCTTCTAAAATTATGGCTTAATTTTTGTTAAATAACTACACAGTGTAATATGTCATGTGTTCTTGTTTGTTTGAGGTTGTATTTAAATTTTTCAAATTATTTTCCTTCTCATATCCTCATATGTAAAATCTAAAAAGTGACAGTTTGTGCTCTTCTTTTTACCATGACTGTAACAATGACCAGGACTTTATATAAGAGATGAATTTAGATCCTAAATTTGAAAGGAGGCGGTGACTCCTGTCATTGCGTAAATCTCATATTTTAGTCACAATATAAAATGGAAAACACATCAAATGTTTAAATTGAGAAAATTTGCTGTTAAAATTTTGATTGCAACAACATGTCTCAGAGGAGTTGGGGAAGGAAAAGTAAGTGGTTCTAAAAGGAAATATTTTGCAGTTAATTGGGTTAACTGGAAACAGGTCAGTAAGACTATTGGGTATAAAAAGGAAACGGTAGAGAGGAAGAGTTTCTCAGATCTAAAGATGGGTAGAGGTTCAATCTGCAAAGAGTTTCAGAACGTTCCTCAGTGAACGGTTGTGAAGACTTAGACTTATTTCATCATCTATATTTCATAATATCATCAAAAGAGTCCGAGAATCTGGAGGAAATCTTGCTGTGTGCAGGAGACAAGGCAGAAAATCGATATTGGATGCCTGTGATCTTTGAGCCCTCAAGCAGCACTGAAATCAAAACAGGAATGACATTAAAATCACTGCATGGGCTCAGGAACACTTCCTGAAAGCGACATCTGTGAACACAGTTCATTTTATAATCCAGTAATGCTGCTTAAAGCTCAATCATACAAAGAAGAAGCCACATGTGAGCATGATCCAGAAACGTCTCCATCTTTTCTGAACCGATACTCACTTAAAATGCACTGAGGCAAAGTGGAAAACCGTTCTCTGGTCAGATTAATCAAAATTTGCTAATTTTTGTATTTTTTCAAAAACATGGATGTTGCATCCTACAGGCTAAAGAGGAGAGAGACCAAAGAAGCTCTGCTGTAGTGTTCACGGGCACTTATCTCCACTTTAAGACTGAATTTAAAATGTAAAGTTGCCTTTTTGCAGTTCTAAATTGAAGTGTTTTTAGGCTGAGTTAAAGGTTTTATTGTGTCTTTGCCAGAAAATAATGCGCACTACTTTCTGCTCTCTTGCTGCTCTCCATGGTGCTGACCTGGTGGACTATGAACTGGTTTGCATGAGGCCTGTGCTATTCTTAGTGACAGGGACACACACACACACGGACAAATGCACACACACATACAATCAGACAGGCGGGGTCATTCTGCAGACTGAGCCCGTGCAGAGTTGGGCTACAACAAACTAGAACGAGTCGAGAAACATGCCGCTGATGCCATTTTCTCCAGACTACTTTCCTCTATCATTTCCTCCAACTTTCAGCGCCGTTTCTTTACTTGTTCTGCACAGCCAACAAGATGACATCAAGCTTCTGTGCCTTTAACATGGAAACATCTTTGTGAACAAAGTTTTATAGTTTAGAGGAAAATGGGGCGGCAGAAGATGTGCTCGGAGTTTCCTTCCTGGATCAACTCAAAGATCAGACACAGAGGGAAAGTTTTGAACAACCTCTAAACTCTGCCAGACTCGGTCCTCAGAGGGAGGAGGAGACATGAGGGTGTTTAACCGGGGTGTGCTGATGCTTCTGACCACAGCAGGGGCTTTCTGTGCCTTCAGCCTCATGACCATCGCCGTGGGAACGGACTATTGGCTGTACTCCCGAGGGGTGTGCCGCTCTAAGACCCTGAGCGACAACGAGACGGTCCGCAAGAACGAAGAGGTCCTGACCCACTCCGGTCTGTGGAGGACCTGCTGCACAGAGGGTGGGAGTCACACTACACCTGCATGTGGTTTCACATTAGAAGCTTATAAAACAGCCCAGAGTGAAACACAACAAAAATGGTCAATCTAAACATAGTAAATATGGACTATGGTGTGTTTATGTGACTATGACTTGTTAATCTAATAAATTAAATAGGATATAAATGGGCAACTCAATATTAAATAGCAATAACACTGTCGGTTCTTACAAGCAGGTCTCTAACGGGCTGAATATATAAACAAAGCTGTGCATCATGTTTCTCTATCGGGTGATAATTGCTACATCGATAAATCATACAACAGCAGCTACATAGTAATACTATTACAAAGTATTACAACATAGTAATAGTATTACAGACCTGAAAATGTTCTGCACTCAACAGTTGAGTGGAGTATTTATATTCTGTATCACGAAAAGTAGAAATCCGACATAAAAATACCCTGTTATAGTGATTGTAACTATAAATATGTGACTAATATGTAAAAACTATTTTTTACTTGCACTGTGCAGATGATTTTGATTGTTTGCTGGTGTCATGAGGACACATCTTAAAGAAGACTATAGAGAAGGTTTAGTCCTGGCTATATGATGGATAGAAATGACATTTTTAATTATTCATTTCTCTTTAATAGCACTACCAATACTTCTCTCACCCTATATCCTTGGTTCTGTTTTGCTTTGCTAAGTTTCTGAATGAAGAGAAAATGCTTGGCTTTTCGATTTCCTTCCCACTTCCCTTGCATCCCCTCCCTCTGCTGCTGCCCCTGCCGCCTGTAAAACCAAGCCAACCTAAAAAAGGTTTAATGGAGAGGAAACAGAGCATGCAGAGGTCATCAGTGCTTTAACAGTCTGGTGTGACTGCGTGTTGGTCAGTTTGCCTGCATTGCAAAAAAAAGCCATAAACAGGCAGATAGATGAAGATAATCGTGATGCACGAAAAAAGCGCTCAGAGACAAATTTGTTGTTGAGCCAGATGGAGACAGATGATCTGATCTCTTGTTTCTAATGTGACAATAATTTGAATAACTTTACACCTCACATCTTTTCTCTCAGCCCTATTCGCCGCAGCTTATCTGTTGTTAATGAATGAGTTTTGTTTTGGTAACCATGGGGACCGAGCCACATCATCGATACTGGTCAATCAGGGCGGGCTCACAGGGACACATTTGTCAATACGATCCTGTGTGCGCAAATACTAAAAGGCATCTCGCGGCCAAAGGTTACAAAGGCTGATGTTTGTATTTCCAGGCATCATTATAATGCATCAGAGCCTTCACGGCTTACGAGGGTTATTATCTGTCTGTGCCATATACAGTAGCGTTGAGCGATAGTGGAATATTTGTCTTTTCACTTGAGACAAGCTAAAACTAAAAGTGATCACATGACATGAGTAAGTGTGGACAGCCACTGCAACACTGTGTCCTCCAGGTTTAAAATCTGATAGGCTGAACAAGTGAAGCCATAAAGTGACTCTTTGGGCATGCTCATAACTCACAAGCACAATATAAACACAGTAAAGGGCCACAAGAGGGCACTGATTCATGTTAAACGGTTAGAAGGTGGACAGGTTGAGTAAAAACCGACCTGAGAAGATACCTGTGCATATTTTACATTTGCATCAAGTACAGAAGAAGAGGGAGACAGGGGAAAATGACAAAGCTGAGCAACTTTTGTTACAAAATGATGTAATTGTCTGATTTTCTGTTTTCAGGGACATTTCAGGGTGTTTGCAAGGACATCGATCACTTTCCTGACGATGCAGACTACGAGCAGGACGCTGCTGAATACTTACTGCGTGGGTCTCAAATAATTGCATGAACTTTTAACAGCTGTGATGACAGTGTGAGGTATTTGCGTGGTGTCTTAATACCCTCGTTCTCCTGTCCTCTGCACAGGAGCGGTACGAGCCTCCAGCCTCTTCCCCATCCTCAGTGTGGGGTTATTATTTCTTGGGGGTGTCTGCGTAGCTGCCAGCGAGTTCTACAAGTCACGCTATAATGTCATTCTCACTGCGGGTATACTCTTTGTCTCTGCAGGTCAGACACACAGAGTTGTTTCAGCAGCATGATTATTATTGTGGCTCTTCATTCAGTCCCTTATTAATTCTGAAACACAGAATTAAGAGCTTTTTGTCAGTGATGTTAGATTTTATGTATACCTCCCCCCCCTTTTTTTTTTTTACTGTTATTAATTATGTTTTTCTATGTTAGTCTTTCTGGTATTTTATCTTTTTTTTCTTTTAAAAAAAAAAAGTATTTTCTTCAGGTGTTTTAATGGTTGTACTTTCTTGTTGTATGGAGGATCAAAAGGGCCAAAAATAAATAATGATTGAACAACTCAATAATTCTCTATCATTAAATTCATCAAAAGTAATATTAACAGCAAAAGGAAATAAATTTTTTTTTTAAAAACACAATAAAATAAAAATAATGGAAATAAATGGAAATTCATTTAAAGGTAACAAAAATACAAAAAAATAAGAAAATCAAATAGAAACAAGAATTGGTATCATATTTAATTACTTATTGTATTTATTCAGCATTTTTTAACCATTATTGTTATTTCTGGTGCATTTAACTGGTGTCTTTAATTTTTTTTAATTTAACTAATTAAATTTACATTTTTGCACTTTTAGTCCTCCATAGAATGTAGCGTGTCAGTCAACTGCAAAAATTCCTCTACAAATAAACATCTGACTGACCCTCTTCATCTCTATGAACACTACTGCAGGTCTCAGTAACATCATTGGCATCATTGTGTACATATCAGCCAACTCAGGTGACCCCAGCCAGAGCGACAACAAGAAGAGCTACTCCTACGGCTGGTCCTTTTATTTCGGAGCTCTGTCCTTTGTGCTGGCTGAGATGGTGGGCGTCCTGGCAGTGCATGTGTTCATAGAAAAACACAGACAGTTGCGCACTAAGGGCCGGCCTTCGCTCATGAAGCCGCCCATCTCTCGAAGCTCATCGTATTACCGCAACCGTTACTATCAGAACCGCAGCCGCCGGTACAGTTACAGGAGCAACCACAGCGCAGGGGACCCGCACTCCTTCCGAGCATCACTCAGCCGTGACCGGGAGCCGTCCATCTCCGCTGAATCTAAAGTCACCACCATGGCAGGTTTGCCGAAACCAGTGTCAGTGGGCTCAGAGTTCATGCTCTACGCTTTAACCTCGCCTCTCAAAAACAGTAAGATAGACATGGCTGTGGATCATTTAACAGCTGCAGCTGCTCACAACAACACAGAGATGCTGCCTGGAAACTGCGCTTCCAACAGGAGGACCACACCTGTCTAAGAAGAGAGTCCCTGTAAGGCTGAACGTTAGTTGGAGGAGAATAAGCTTTCTCATGTTCTTGCTTGCAAAAGAGAGACATTGTAGACAAGTGCAGGGCTTAGCCTGCCAAATATTTTTTTATGAACTCTTCAGTCAAGAAATAGTGGGAAAACTGCCATTACAATCTCCCAGAGTCAGTCCAACAGTCCAACACCAGGATATAACTTGGGGTGCAATCAGAAAGTCCAGTTACTCCAACCATTAAAAGCAGAAACCATGTCTGGTTTAAATTTAGCCAATCTCCCCTTCAAGTCTGCTCCTTCTGCAGCTCTGGAATTAAATGGGCGGTGCATTATGTGGTTCAGTGGTTTGCACAGAAAAAGGTCCTGGGTTTGAATCCACTGGCTGGGGCCTTTCTCTGCGGAGTTTGCATGTTGTCCCTGTGACTCTGAGTGCTCACGTTTCCTCCAACAGTCCAAAGATGTGCATGTTAAATTCTGATTTGTCAGTCTCTCTGTGTTACCCCCTGTGGCAGATTAGCAACCTGTTCATGGTCTCCTCAAACTCTTGCCCCATGACAAGCTGAATAGGCTCCACCAGTGCAAGGAACAGTTTGGAGTGAAAGTTCCCCACATGAAGGCAGTGCATCGGATTAGAATGATAGCTATTTCTTAAGATATTTGCAGGGTCTTGCACTAATTCAGAATGAAATCCGGGATGAGAACTTCAGTGCGAAGCTCTACTCTAGAACCTGAAGCGTCCAATAGAGTATATCTGGTGGAATCAACCTGAACTGGTTGCTTCCAGTCTTCAATCTGCAACTAGCTGCAACTTTTTCATTTTTCACATAATTATATATAAGCTAAGGTGTCAGCATTTTGACATGGTGGAGGAGATCCAACATGCACTGTTGAAAGAAAAGTTGAAGTGGTCAGAACAGGGCGTGCAGGGAAGGGTTTAAAATAGGAGCTGTAGGCTTGCAGCACTGCCCAAAGACATGCCCTAATGGGGAAGATGTGTCACATTTAAATCAGGTTATGGTTCACAAGCTGGCACCGCAGAACTTAACGATTGCATCTCCTGATGAAACAAAGCAAGAAAATAAAGCTGTTTGAGATGTTGAAATCAGAGAGACCTTGTCGTTTTTTACTGGAACAATTTTAAAAATGGTCCATCGATGATTTAAATAGTTGCAGAATGTTGTGCAGTTAATTCACTTATCGTTTCAGTTCAAGCAACCAGCTGATCTGTATATTTGACACTCGGAGGAAAAATCAAAGCAAACAAAAACTGAACTTTTAAAAAATAGATTTGTCTCAGTTTTTGTGAGTGTGTGTGTAGTAATAGTCAGTCAGAGAGAGAGACAGAAAGGGAGAGGTGCCCGTGAGGAAATAGAAACATTTACAGAAAATACAAAACGCATGAAAGCAACTGAGAATGAATGAATGAATGTCCTGTTCCTGTAGCCTCATTTTTTGTGGACCTATTGCAGAAGATCGAAACCCCATTAAGTGCATTCGAACTCTCTCTGTCTCTCCATGTGTCTAATTGTGTGGCTGAGTGAGTTTTTGTAGCATGTGAGCGTGCATAAGCCCACTGAAAGGGTCTGCCCTCATGGTTATGCCACTTTCTATATGCCTTAAAGAAAGCTTCAAAACTCACATCACAAAAGGTGCTTTTTTAAAATTGTACAGGACATCTCAGTTTCTGGCATCTGGCATTTGCAAGAGAAACTAAGAGAATATTCAAACACAACCCAGCACAGAAGCAAAGGTTTGAACAATACTGATAAACAAAAACAGTTTATCAAAAAAAGGTGACCTCTCCTGTGCTGAGTAATATCAGGGCCTTATTGTGCCTGAACATGCATGAATTAGCTCCGTTACATCTGATGGCAGGGCAGCACAAACAGACACACGTCTGAGAAACCTCAGGTGTTACCATGGCAGCAACGGGATTCAGGCTAGAATTCAAGGTAGGTTATGAATACGCTCACACAAGAAATTACCTGAAAGCACAACTGACTACTTCGGCTACTGTTTCAGCTCCACAAGCTATTTATCGCTACTACACTGCACAGAGTCTACTGTCCAAGGATCCATATGGAAGTATTTAAGTAGTATTTCAAATATTTTTACTAAAAGTAAAAAAAAAAAAAGTGCAAACAAAGGATTCAAACTAATGCCTCAAACAGACTGGAGCCTCTAATCAGAAAGCTTCAATATGATTTAGTTACTAAGCAAACAAAAGTTAAGTTAATGAATAAATTACCAGCAGAGACCAGCCTGCAGTGTCTGAAAGGAGAATGGTGAAGCCAAAGAGACTGATAACATCAGGCCAGCTAACATCAAGATTTACATTTCTTGGGCAATACTCTACAGAAATCATGGTAAAAAAGGTCAAGAGTCAAGAATGGACAAGAATCTATTGAAAATTTCAGCAGACCAATTTTTATATATAACTGTTGAAGTGAGAGCCGAGTAGGCTTAATATTATAGCTGGATTGGTTGGTTTTGTCTGCTGATTAAATTAAACGAAACAACAAGTTTGATCACAATCTGTAAAACCAAAGGAGTGCGCTAAAAGTCACTAAAATGTTTGGCATATCAAAAGAACTGACGAACCAACTTTTTTTTTTCCTACTACTTTTCTCTGAGGAGGTGCACTCGAGGCTCTTAATTAAAGAATGGGTTATAAATAGAGCAGCAAGCTTTGTGAAGCCGTTGCTTTTCTCTCATTGAAATGGGAACTTTCAGTCACTACTATATTAAGATCACAACTTGCTGTGAGGTATGTGTAATATGTTTCAGTTTCCTTCAGACTTTACAACAACATCCCAAAAATGTCACCACTGGCCTTTCCTCTTTAACACTAGCATTCGTGTCAGGACATCATTGGTTATTTATGAAGACCTGAAGCACAAAAACATTTCTACTGTGTTTTACAGGAAATGGGATGAATCAGCAAAATAAAGGTACTGCTTAAAGTCATCAGGATCTGATATTTTTCCACCACTGAAGAAACAAAACAAATACAATGAATAAATTAAAAAAAAATTCCCAGGCAAAGGTAAATCTAAATTAAAGGGTTATTTTTGCAAAATGTCAAGCAAGGTATCTTAAAATTAGAGGTACAAACTTTAAAAGAAATCTCTGAAACATCTCCTTGCTGCATAGAATACATTGTATAAAACAATACTTTACAGTTTTATACAATAAAGACAAAAACAACTGATTCTCGAGAGGATGGATGGTAAAGTGGTAAAGAGTTTCAAGTTCATATTACATTATTTAATATTATTTCTAACAAATTAATTGTACAGTGTAAGGGTGTGACTTTTTTTAGTGACTGAAACAGGTTTCCATACACATATGAAATGGTTATTTTGTTTTAAATGACATTGGTTTAAAATGAATTTAAATACATGTAATATAACCAAAATGTATATTAATTATCAATAAAACTTTAGTGCACTAATGTATAATTGCCATGAACTAACAATCAGTTAAAGTTACAATTTAAAACACAAAATCCATCCATCTACAAATACCAGTTGCCCAGCATCCAGCCATCTTTGTCCCGTCTTCCTCCCCTCACTCCTAACTCAGGTGACCGATTCGGCCAGAGATTTCTTCCTGTTAAATTGACTTTTTCCTTTCCACTGTCCAAGTGTTTGTTCATAGGGGGTAGTGTGATTGTTGTTGTTTTGGGGTTTTATATATTATTTTTGGTGTCTTTCTTTATCTTAAAATATAAAGTGTCTTGAGACGACAGGCTCTTGTGAAATAGCGCAATATTACGAAAATTAAATGATTAGTGCACAGATATTGTGGGGTTTCACTCAGTTAACTTTTTTGAGCAATAAAAGCTGAGGGTGGCAGTAAAATGCAACGCCGCAGCTGCCACTTTTCATTGCCTCAAAGAAGAAGCAGACATGATAACAGATATATGATTAACTTGTTACTTTTAATGGCTAAATTTCATATTCACAAGTCCAAATATTTAGGAAGACATCCCTCTTTCTATGTATTCTCCTTTGAACTTGTACAGTATCTTAACTCTATTAAGAACTCCACTAACCCAAAAGCTATAAAAACTATTGGTGTTTGTGAAAAAATCAAGATCTTTCAATCACTTTGTTCTTTGGCTTGATTAGTTACTTTCCCCCTAGCATGTTTCTATTGTTGTTTTTGAATGCTGTTCTTGTATTTGTTTATCTATGCATACAATTCTTCTGTAAGTACATCACCATTATTGTAATACTGCTTAAATTCCATTTTGTATTGTACTGATGTTTAAATAAAGATTTTGGAGAAAAAAAAAGAAAAAAAAGAAAAAAAAAAAAAAGCAGACACTGGCGACATCCGGTTCCGTCCAGCGCCATTTTGATGAAACAGCGAGGAGACGATCGTCTGGGATCAGCGACATGGATTTAATGGATTTACACTGAAGAATCATCCGGATTCAAAACTTTATTTTCTGTGGTGGGACATAACCGTGGAGTGAAGAGGAACCTTTTCGTCCTGACTGCAGACGGTGGATTTTTGCCCCAAAGTTTAGCGTGACACCATTGTCAGCAATAGCAGCGTTAGCCGTTAGCTTTTGTTAGGCCTGCTTTCATGTTGTGTTGAGTTGCGTTAGCTAATCTCGAGGTGTCGCATGTTAGCCTTGACATTAGCTTAACATTTACACGGAACATTTCGATTTAAGATTAACCTTTTCGGAGGGGTCTAAACAGTAGTGTGACTCCTGTGGACTGGCCGTGGAGCATTTCACGCAGTTTTGTGGACTTTTTGTGGAGCTCGGTGGTGTTTTGTTTCTATAAATTACAAACTGTACCGAAAAGGCAAAACACTACCGCGAGGACTGGGGAAGCCCCAGGCCCGCTGCTAGCTGCAGTGCGGCTGACCGGGTTTTCCAGCAAGGACAATTCACGACGGACTTGACCTCATTTACCCATGTAACATATTCACACTGTGCTGCATGGACTCTTTTGGATTTGGTGGCACCTTGTTGTATTTTCTTGGACTTTAAAGAACTGAAGAGGCACACGGCGCCGCTCCATGGCGCTTTGGCCTCGCTGCTCGATTATTTTTCATTTCCAGTAATAATGACTGTGTCGTCATCTGCGAGCTCAACCTTTTCCCCATATTAGTCCTTTCTTTGTCCAGTGTTTCAGCGAATAATACAGAAGGTTTACCCATTAAAGTCACCAGATTTAGCCTCCTGTGTTCAGTGTTGACGCTTTCATTTTGTTATACCAGGCCTGTGTTTTTTTTTTTCTTTGTTCTTAACTTGATAAGTGCTTAGACTTGTTTAAAAAAAAAAAGAGAGAGAGAGAGAAATCCAAACAAAACAAAAAAAAATGTCGTGTGTTCACTATAAGTTTTCTTCCAAACTGGACTATAATACAGTCACTTTCGATGGGCTGCATATCACTCTCAGCGAGCTTAAAAGGCAGATTATGGCCCGGGAACGGCTCAAGGCCACAGACTGCGACCTGCAGATCACCAATGCGCAGACTCGAGAAGGTACGCCATGAGCTGACTCTTTACATTATGGGAGAAGCATAATCAGATACTTTGGGAAGAGGCAGCGCATGATATCTACGTATAGGGCTTTTGCTGGGAAAACACAAACAGGGCTAGAATATGTACAAATCCATTGGGATCTACAACATGCCTCTAATAATTTCTTTAAAACAGTTTGACATTCTAGGATTTACTTTATTTGTCCCAAGCAGTTTCATGTACACTGAACCTCCAATCTAATATTTGAGAACGAGCTTTTAATGTCTATTTTTATAAAGGCTTTGTCATTATTTAGTGCTTATTTTAACTGTCACAGCTATTCAGCCTTAGTTGAAGCCCTGGGATCGCATAAGCTGTAAATACTGGGATTTTTCTGTATTTCATAAATATTTTGTAAACTCATTGGATTTCTGTTCTGTGTGGTGTTTCACAGAATACACAGACGATGAAGCCCACATCCCAAAACACTCGTCTGTGATCGTCCGCCGCACCCCGATTGGTGGAGTAAAACCTGCTGGCAGGACGTTCATTGTGTATGTATACATAAAATCTAACGTTGCAGCCTG